CTTCCTTCAATCACAAAAATCTCCACTTCTATTCAAAATAGATTTTAACTTCCATCACTAGAAGCAGGGCATAAAACAGGTTAACTCAATATACTCAAAGATCGTAGAGCGCCTGATTCCACCGCGTACTGACATAAATGGTTTAACTTGTCTAAAGGAGCGTATTAACAATTGCAGGTGTTCACTTTTCACGCTATCTGCAGGTGTCAGCTGTTTCTGCATCACATGGTTTAAGGAGCTTAATCATTTCCATATTATGAAATGCCTCAGGAGAATTCTAGGCATCAAATGGCAGTATAAAGTACCAAGCTCCAAAGTTCTCAAAATGGGCAAATACTGAGAGTATGCTTTCTAAGCTAAAAATACTCTACTTCAATGGGCTTCCATGTCGTAAGAATGCCTGAATTTAGAATCCCAAAGGCACTATTCTACTCTAAACTGTCCCCTGTGAAGCTCAAAGCTGGCGTATGAAAAATATGCTACAAAAAACGCCCTGAAAATATCTCTTAAAGATTTCAACATTCGTAAATCCTTCGACATGTGATGGAATGACTCCTGACAGACCCAGTTGGAGGGCAGCAATTCAATATCATATGAGGCTTCACAGAAAAGCAATGCTGGAACCAAGAGAGACGATCGAAAGCTGTCCACATCCACAAGTGGAAGTTGAGATTGTTGAATGCTTAACGTGTAGCACACTTTTTTTCTGCCAGAATTGGTCTCCTCGGCCTTGTCAGATACTGTAAGTCCTCTTTACCTTTAAATCTCCTAATTCTTCTATTTCGCTTTAGAAATTAAATTCTCTTCTGCGGATGTTTTGGTCATCGTCAGACACGGATGGACGAACAATCATTATTACCACCACCACTACCACCAGCACCACTATTGTTATGATTATTACTAGCTGGGCTACCTTTCGATGAAAGGAATGATCGGTGCATTAACATCAACTGAAAGTCATTGGCCTAATATACATGTAGTTACACTCTACTGGAATGGAGTAATAAATCTTTAAAGAAAAGTGACACACGTGTTTCCAAGTTGCCAAATTATAATAGATGTATAGATTGATTCTCCTTCCGCTTTCGTGGTTGTACACTCCAGAATTTCAAAGATGTGGAATCAATGCGCTCAGTTAGTGAACGGAAACCTCACTTGTTTGCAATGGTGTCTTAGAAGACGGACTTTCCCAAGTTTAGAACTCTGTGTGGACGAAACAACGCATTTTGAAAAAATGGGGGGAAGCAGTTTGCGTGGATTTTTTAAAGTTAGGTCATAGCAACATGGATGCTGTGGACGCCCGCAAAGTTTCAAAGGTATGGGTTAGGTGATAAGAGAGGATTTTGTCAACAAAACCTCTCATGTCCACTTTTATATTTATATAGACAATAAGATTATTATTATCCGATCTTCTGTTCTTGCGAACTATTCACACGCACGAAGAAGCACATTATGAAACAGAAGTAGTCCGCAGTAAAATATGAAATGGCCGAGGGCAGAGTGAAAAAATCTGAGAGCTTCGATTTACAATAAAAACCATCAAACATGAAAAATCCAAAGGTAGTTTCCGAGCTTTGAAAATACGCCCACGAAACCCTTTGGGACAAATCTTGTCTGAATCATATTTTTGTAGATTTTGTGGGCATCTGTGTAAAAAGTTTTTACTGACACCACAAACGGGCTTAGCTCCATTATAATAATAATAATAATAATAATAATAATGATA